CCCCGTGCGATGGCCCGTGGGAGATTCTGCCGGATCCGCCCGCACCGACTCCTCAGCCAGGTGTCGACGTGGTCTTTGAGCAGGCTCACCTCGAAGACATCCGCCGTACACCAGGGATGGGCGGCAAGACCGCCTGCCAGTGGCAGCGCGCGCTGCGCGCCGAGTGCATTGTCAACAACTTGTCGTTCAAAGACGTAACAAACGACCCGTCCTACGACTGGAAGCAACTGCTTCGGTCTGCCGCTCCGGGTTTCGCTGAGCGCATAATCGGGCAGGGCATCGCCCAGGTTCTCTTTCGCATCATCGAGACAGAGCGCGACCCTAACTACTCCAACACGGATGGCCACGGCAGGCACTTCTTCGAGTTCCGTCGTGCAGACGGTTCAGCCATGCGCCTGCATTACCATAAGAACGGCCGACCCGATGAGCCCACCTATGTCGGTCCACCACGCGCCGTTGCTCAGCCTGCCGTGCCTGAGCCTGGCGCTGCTCAGCCTCATGTTCCTCGTGGCGGCGCTGCTCAGACTGCCGTGCCTGACGGTGGCGCTGCTCAGCCTGCCGAGACTGGCGGTGATGCCCCACTGCTCTTCACACAGGAGCACCTGCAAGAGGCAGCCTGCTCGCGCCAGATTGTGGGCCGCGACGAAGCCAGCGCCGCTCTCCAATCGCTGTTGCACTACCACCATGGCGAGACTGCCCCAGGTGCTGTTGACATCACCGATGGCTCAGCATTTGACTGGCTTCGATGGGTGGCACATATCGAAGGTGCGCGCGACGTCATCCGCAATGGCGTCCACAGGGTCTACGCTGTCCGCTGGAATCCGCACTGGGCTCCAGAGGCCGTCTTCTGCTACGGCAACAACACCTACAGCACACTGGTGCCCCGCAAATCGCGCTACACAGGCTCGTGGAGCCACGCGCGAATTGTGACTCACCGGAACGCCAATTGGGTGACCGAACCGTTGCTATCTGCGGCCCCTGTGGCAGCTACGCCGTGGCTGGTGTTGCGGGATCAAATAACCTGGGAGTGATCTCTGGCAAACGAGATGTGGTGCTTCTCAGCCTGCACTCATGTGACACGCAATGCCGTGCCCTGCAATCGCGTGGTGTTTCTCAGCCTGCACTCGCAGGTCCTTCGGAGGTCAATTGTTATGAGTTCGGCACGGTCTCGGTCAAGTACAGCGTGCTGTGGGGATCCCGAGATGGGGCCTGGCTCAAGGTGCTCAAGACGTACTGGAGTGTCCCAGAGCCGGAGTGCCAGCTGATCCTCGGGAGTTGGAACGGCATTTTCAGGCCGTGGCCGGACACGTTCTGGATCAGGACGGGGGGGTCCGAGCCCGAGATAGATGCTAGCGCTCTGCAGTACAAGTGCTTTTCAGCATGCGACATCCTGCGGTGCTTCTCAGCCTGCAGGGTTCGCAGCGTGCGGTTTGCAATGCATTCCTTTTCAGTATGCGAGTTCCTGCGGTGTTTCTCAGGTTGCAGGGCTCCGAGGCTCTTCCCTTCGATGCCAATGTTTTCAGACACCGTAGCTCCGTTCCGTAAACATCTTCCAAGAGCCGCTCGCAACTTTTTGCAGCTGGCGGTCTGCAGACGTAGTCTGTCTCAGCATGCGAGCTCCCGCACGCTTCGCCGGCTTTTGCTGCGCGGACAATTTTCTCACACACGTCAGCGCCGTTTGTAGGCGTCAGAAAAACATGTAGACATTCACGAAGGGCTCAGTCTGTATATCGTCACATCATTACATACGCAGTCGTCGAACACATCGGTGTACATTCAGCGCTTTGTCCTTCTAGCTGGGTCGCTTCGTGCTGAGGCTGAGGCTGATGCAGGCTGAGGCTGAGGCAGGCTGAGGCTGAGGCCGAGGCCGACGGCAGACTGAGGCTGAGGCTGAAGCAGGCTGAGGCTGAGGCAGGAGGCAGGCTGAGGCTGAGGCTGAGGCAGGCTGATGCTGAGGCAGGCTGAGGCTGAGGCTGAGGCTGATGCAGGCTGAGGCTGAGGCAGGCTGAGGCTGAGGCCGAGGCCGAAGGCAGACTGATGCTGAGGCTAAAGCAGGCTGAGGCTGAGGCTGAGGCAGGCTGAGGCTGAGGCAGGCGGAGGCTGAGGCTGAGGCAGGCTGAGGCTGAGGCTGTGACTGCGACTGCCGTTGCCACTGCGACTGTCTTCGCGAATGCGACAACGACTGCGAGAACAGCAGAATTCTACAACTGGATTCTCATCCGAATCTTAAGGGGAATGCTTCCAGATATGCTCCTACACATGGCTGTTAGGTTGCTTTGCCGGGATAATTTGGAAAAAGAACCAAAACCAAAACCGAGAGGGTCTAGCACGCCAGGCACCCCTGCGATGAATCGACAGGGGGCGGCGGATAGTGGCCTTCGGCCCATCCCGCCAGCGTGCCTGGGTTGTAGGTATGCTATTGGATGTTCTTTGGGATCTCGTGGGGGGCCTCTCGAAGGCAGTTTGGATGCCTCTTCGGCGCCGTTTCAGGGACTCCTGGGGCCTCTTCTGCGCCTCTTGGGGGCCTCGTGGGGCCTCTTGGGGGCCTCTTGGGGGCATCTTGAGGCCTCTTGGGCGCCACTTGGGGGCCTCTTGGGGCGGAAGGCTAGAGTTGTCGGTTCGTGTTCCCTCTCTTGGGCCCTTTTTGGGGCCGTCTTGGGGCCCGCTTGGGCCGTTTTGGGTGCCTCTTGGGCCGTCTTGGGGCCCTCGCAGGCCGTTTTGGGCCCCTCTTGGAGGGTGGAGGCCTCTTGGGGCGGTCTTGGGGGCCTCTAGGGCCGTCTGGGAGCGTCGGGAAGCCGAAACGGCGAGAACGCTCAATTCCTACAAAGACCTTTGGGACATTGATAATTTTGGCCACTTGGGGCCCTCTTTGGGAGGCCTCTTGGAGGCCTCTTGGGGCGTCTTTGGGCCCTCCCGGGGCCATCTTTAGTGTCTTGGAGCGATCGTTCGGCGACTCGGGGCCCTCTTGGACCGTTTTTTTGGGGGCCTCTCGAGGCTCTCTCGGCTTGTCTTAGGGCCCCCTAAGGCACGAAAAAGTCACGCGACAAGATGCCAAGGAATCCAGGGTGCACGCGGGAAACTCAGGGAGATTTGAGAGCGAGGGGTCCAGGTCCTTCAACAAAATCCTCAGGAGTGAGGAGTGAGGCTCAGAGGATTAGGCAAAGGGCCTGAGGGCACGCCCACTCCGTGCCCAGCGGCACGGTGGCGGGTATTTCTATATATATATATATATACATATGTATATGTATATGCATATATATATATATGTATCTGTATATGTATATGTATATGTATATGTATATGTATATGTATATGTATATGCATATGTATATGTATATGCATATGTATATGTATATGTATATGTATATATGTATGTATATGTATATGTATATGTATATATATAGATGTATATGTATATGTAGATGCTTATGCATATGCAAAGGTATATGCATTTGTTTGTGTACATGTATATGTATATGCATATGTATATGCATATGTATATGTATATGCGTATGTATATGTATATGTATATGTATATGTATATGCATATGTATATGTATATGTATATGTATATGTATATGTATATGTATATGTATATGTATATGTATATGTATGTATATGTGTATATGTATATGTATATGCACATGTATATGTATATGTATATGTATGTGTATGGTATCTGTTTACTGAAGAATGCATTGCAGCATCAGTGAGTGGTCGTACTCCGTAACTATTTGAGCTCGAGAGCTTGTGCTAATTGTGGCTACCCTCGGCATCCCTCCGGCGGCCCATGCAGGCGGGGGCACTGGCGGAGTTCCTCACGACCGAGGCGCTGCGCTGGGCGGGGCTCTCCTCGCTTTTCCTGGCGAGCCGCTGCCCCGAGGTGCCGCCGTGCCCCGCGGCGCCGCCCTGCCCGGAGTTCCCCGAACTCCCGGCTTGCCCGGCCTGCACGGGGGCGCCGCCCGTCCCCCCGAAGGCCGCGGCGCTCGCCGCGGGCTGGTGGGCCGAGGCCGCCTTGGCGGGCTTCGGCGCCAGGGTGTTGGCGTTCGCGCTCATCCTCTGGGCGTGGGGCTGAAGCCGACCGCGGCAAGCGGAGCCTGGCTTCGTGGACGAGGCCGCCCCGGCCGTCGGCCGTGCGACGTCCAGCGGCGATGGCGGCAGCGGGCGCAGTGGTGGCGCTGCAGCCGCAGCAGATCCAGGAGTGGGCCTTCGTGCTCTACGCGGTGCCGGGGCCCCCGGTGTACCACCAGCGCCGGGTGATAGGGTGCCGGCGCGCGGTGTGCTCGGCGATTGATCTCGGGGTGTTTCTGGTCGGGACGCCCGACCTCGACGTGTACGAGGAGGACGACCGCCCGGGCTCGCTGGGCCGCGACATCGTTCAGGTGACGTTTGGTGCGTCCCGCTGGCCGCCGCCGCCCGCCGTCCCGAGGTCGCAGGTGTACCGGTTCCGCGACGACCTCTCGGGCCTCGAGATGGCGGCCATGCATGGCGCGAGGCCGAGAGGTTTTGGGCAGCGGCGGATCTCGCCGCGGGCGGCGCTGGCGCGCCTGTGCTCGCGGACGTGTTCGTGTCCTTCCCGGCGATCGCGGGAGTGCTGGCGGCTGTGCCGGGCGGCGGGGCCCCCGCGCTCGGGCCGGTGCCTGGGGGGCTGGGCGCGCCGTTTCCCATCGCGGCAGCCCTCGTCGTGAGGGGGGCCCTCGCGCAGGCCGGCCCGGCCGCAGCGCCGCCCCCGCTGTTGGCGGAATCGGCGCAGCAGTAGATTCCCAGGAAGTTCCGACGAGAAATCTATCACCCAGCACGATGTCTATTTCACGTATCAGTCGTCACAGCGTCGCTAGCCGTGCTGAAATGTAGTGGCGCCTGGGGGCCACGTGAAACGAATGGGAAAGCTTGTATCCCGCCCTTGAGCCAAAACCACAGCACAGAGAGGCGTCGGGCAGGGAGTGCGCAGGACTGACTGCTGCTAGCTAACACCGGTTATACTCTTCTCAGTCCTGAAGCTACATGCACCGAGACCGCATTGGGCTTCGAGTCGAATCAGAAAGAAAGGAATCGTCGCACAACGACTCCAAAGGATCCAACAAGCTTTCCATGCAGCCACTGTCGGCCTCCTCGGGCGCGTCTGCGAAAGCGCCCTTGCCGTCGCGCTGCCTCCGACGTCCGCTCTGGAACATCTCGTCAAACGTACACTTCCAGCGCTGCGTGGCCAAAAACTCCTCCATCACATGTCGAGCCGGATATCCCGGCTTCGTCAAGCTATCTGCCAGCATGGCCAAACCGTTCACCCATCTGAAAGACACGTCCGTGCGCAAGATCTGCTCCTTGATGCCTCTGGCCTCCTCGCCTGATCTGAAGCTGCGCATGCCCAACTGGGGAGACTCCGACTTCAAGATCGCGTCGTAGAGGCCGCGCGAATCTGTGATGGGCATGCCTGGCACGGTCTTGACAGTGTCGTCCAACTTCCAACGGGTCGGTTCGACTTCATGAAATTCTGCCCACATCAGTCGAGATAACCACAACATCTCGTCGCCGAGCGCTGTCGACTGCGTCTCGTTGTTGTTGCAGCCCGAAGTCTTGCGAGGTAGCTTGAAGGATCTCCATCCAAGTATCGAAACGTTTGCCATGCTGCCATTCGCGAAATCCGGAGTCGAGAGGCCTGTCACCAGCCCGCCCGTCTTGCTGCCGTCGGGCCTGAGCTTGTCGCTAGCGTCCGCCCACTGCACCATCCACAACTTGTGCCAATCGTAGTTCTCGAACCGGTGGAACTTGATCACCTGCGACGCCGATTTACGCATGTCCTTGACAAGCTTGTTGGCATTCACCAAGTCGCGGATCTTGGCGTTGTTGACTTGAGACAAGGCAAGCCCAGCGTCCACCGCATACTGTGGGGGCACTTGCTGTGCCCTCCAACTGGCCGTGCCCAGTACTCCACGAAGCAGTGAGATCTCTTTCGGCTCGAGTGGTAGATGAGCCTGCTTCTTGCGGTCGGCGTCGATCTCGGCCTCCGTGATGAACTTGTTCGTGTAGTCGTAGAGGTCCAGCGTGATCGAGAAATTATTGAACTGGCGAGCGCGTGGCCCACTGAACTCGGCCTGGCCGGAAGTCCACGCGCCCCATCTGTAGAGGTCCAGGATGGCCTTCTCCGCGTCCCTGTGCAGCTTCGACGTCTCGTCGCCGCCGATGATGAAGTCATCCACGTGGACGCCGATGATGCCCTTCAGCTGGTTGTTGGAACCCAGCAAGATCCACGCGCACTGGTCGGCGCGTAGTTGACGCCAACCTCGGTCACGAAGTTTGCGTGATATGTCAATTCGCCATGCTCTCGGAGCTGTCGTCAATCCATAGAAAGATTTGACCATCCTCAAGATCTGCGAAGGACGCCCCAGCTCATCAGGAAAAGCATGAGCCACTTCCGTAGGAACCTTCACGCTCAGACTCTCGAACTCCTCGCTCGCGTCGGTCTGGAGGAAAGCTGAGCTGACGTCGCCGAACTTGAGCTTGAACTTGCGCTGCGCGCACACCTGGAACAGCATGTTGCGAGCCAGCTTCCCCAGCGTAGGCGCCGCCGTAGAGAGCTCCGTCAGACTCGGGTGCTGGTGGCCCAGAATGACTGGCCGAGCCTTCGGCTTGCGTGCGCCACCCTCCTGGTACTTGTAGGTGAGGGCCCGGCGCGTCTTGAGCAACCGCGACTCGTCGATCTCGGTGAGCTCCTCCTGAGCGATCCGCTTCAAGACCTTGGTCGCGATGACCTGGCTGATCTCCTTGCACATTGCCTTGTCGAACTCGCGCTGCTGCCCTGGCGCCAGCTTGGAGTAGGTGACCTCTGTCGCCTTGCCGTCGCCAAGCCTCTTGGAGAGCCAGACCGTAGAGTCTTGAAGAAAGGCTCCAATGTGAGCGAAATCGGTCGCGACCTCGATCACTTCGCGCTCGATGGTCGTGTCCTCCAGGTAGGCCACGGACTGGTTGTTGAAGCTGTCCCAGGCCTCCAGGTACTTGACCTCGTCCTCGAAGTCGCGCGTCATGAGATCCATTTCTCCGAGCTTGATGCGCTTGGCCTCTGGCTCCTCTTTGTCGCGTTCGTCTGCTTCGCCAGTGGGGCCCCCCCCGGCAGGATCTTGGTTTCCCGCGAAACCCTTTGCGACCGGCCCGTCCGCAGAGTCGGGTCCCACCCCAAGAGGCTCTGCCGGGCTACCCTCTCGGAGAACTACCGCGGCTTCATCGCCAATCAGAGCACCTGCAAGGCCGCGGGTGATTTCCTCTGGCTGGCGCCGCCGACGTCGCTTCTGGCCCATAAAGCGCGTCGTAGGGAGATGCCTTGTACCTCGACCGGGCCCGCCTGATCGGCTTCCAGTCCTGATCACCCGTGACTTGGTCCCTTTGGTGAAGATCTCGGCCTGGTTCATCATCATCCTCTGGAACTGGTACTCGAGACAAAATTGGAGGAACATCTTGAGGAACTGGATGAAGGTTTGCACCGTCGTCTCCAGCCTGAGCACCAGCACGAAATTCACGCCGATCTCCTAGGAGAAAATCTTCACCTGGTCCTGGTTGCTCTGGTAGGTCTGCAAGGCTCTCGGCAATCTCGCGCTCCGAAGGTAGGTCGCCTGCCAAATCGGTAAACTCGCCGCGCCCAGCACCTTGAAATGCATTGGAGGCGTTGGTCGGCGAGTCCCTGTCGATGTTACCCTTGAGCGATGCCACGACCACCTCGCGCTGACTGCTCGACCTCAGCTGTGTCGGATGACACCGAATAAGCCTCGTGCCATGCACGATCCACGCCACCGAAATCTCGTCCTCGATCGAAGCGGACTCGTCGGCACGTTCGCGCTGGAGGTTGACCTTCGGCTCGATGGCCAAAGCTCTCGCCGGTCCGAGCCACGAACCTCAAGCTCCAGTGTTCTCGCCACGACGGAAGTACATGATCCAGTCGCCGATCTTGATCGAGAGAAGCTTCTGCCTCATGGAGTGCCGAAGCCGAGTCGCCACTGAACGAGCCTGCTCCTCCAGGTAGACCCGCTCTGCCAAAAGACGATGAAGTTCGGTGTGTGCCAAGCCGTCTCCATCCAGGCGACCAGCCTCCTCCGCGAACTGGTGGCCCTGGTGGTTGGTACCGTGCGCCCATTGGACTGGCGTGTAGCCCGACGCCTTGTGCTGGTTGTTGTGAGCGGCGCAGGCCAGCGACGCACAGTCGGCCAACGATAGCGTCGGCTCGTCCAAGGAGATGCGTCGAGCGGTCTTCTTGATCTGCCTGATAAGAATCTCCATGTCGGCCGTCAGACCATGGAACTCGCCCGGGCTCTGGATGATGCCCGCGGCGTTCTTGCCACACCACTCGCGCAACTGGTTGCTCACGAAGCCGCCGCCCGGGTCCAAGATCAGGAACTGGCACCGCGGCTTGTGCTGCCACCAATCCTCCAGGAACGCCGACAACACCTGGGCGCCAGACGGCTCGAAGTACGCCTTCTTGCCCTTGGTATCCACCTCCTTGAAGACGCTGCGAACTGCCAACTTGCAGGCCGCGCCCATGTAGAGCACCGCGAACGGCTTCCTGTGGTGCACCTCCAGCTCGAAGCAGTCCAGCTTCACCGCCTGCCACAACTTTGGTGGCAAAGAGGGTGACACCACAGCCTGGTGCTGCGTGTCCTGGGTATCGGTGCAAGCATCGCAGATCAGCTCGTCCACGAGCGCCTGCTGCCACGTTTGGCACCCGCGTCTCTGGAGCATCGCCTTCATGTTGGTCTTGGACATATGTCCACCAAGAATGTGGAGGTCCACCAACCAGGACTTGACCTTGTCGAGCGTGACGTTGTCCTCTGGCATCTTCTTGAAGTGCTTGTCTATGCCCGACTCGATGCCGTACAACTGCTCCTCGCAGTCCTGCAGCGCGCTCATCGCCCAGAAGTCCTCCTCGAAGTCCTGACCGCGCAGGTCCTTGGCGAAACCCTTGACCAATCTCCGAATCATCGGATCCGGATAGTAGGCCGACGCCGCCACGGCGTCGTGCCCCTCGAGCGGGCTGCGAGGATGGTCTTTCGCACAGTGTAGTGCCATCCACTGCGTAAAATTCTCGTCACTGGTGAGGATGCCCCGAGACTTGCTCCTGAGCGCGCCATGCTCGTCGCGCATGCCGACCTGGCACGCGTCGACCCTGACCATGCGGAGAGGTCGTCCGATGATATTTTCCGCCTCGCGCCTGAACCGGTTGAGCTCCGGTGTAGACCAGCCACTGCACTTGCACGGCCACTCCCAGTAGATATCACCATCGTGTCGTAGAGTTTCCAAGGCCATATCCACGCAGTGCCCATTCATAGCGCGAGCCCGAGGTCGCGATCGTAGGAAATTCTCCCAGATGCCAGGTCGTCGTTTGTGTTCAGGTGTATGGTTCTGCATCAACGAGAAGTAGGTACGTGGTGTCAAAACCACGCTTTGCGAGGGTACGTCGTATTGAACCACTCCTTGGCACGACGAGCGTCGTCCTTCCTGTGGAGGTCGTAGCCCTGCTCCAGGTTGATGCGCTGGCAGTTGAAACCCTCATCAGTCCGGCTGTCAACCTCGAAGCTGGAGAACACGCGACTTCGGCGAAGTCCACTCGCATTGCCGAACCTGTCTGCACGAGGCCCAGCATCAGCCCGTTCACGAGCATGCCCAGTGCCGCCATGCCGCTCTGGATCGTGCGGCGCTGCTTGTTCGAAACTTGCTTCACTTCATGAGGACATCCCCCATGTCCCCCGGCACCGGCATCGCCACGTAGGCCTCCTGCTTCACCTCTGGCTTCACCTTCAGGCGCATGACTCCCCGGGCCAAGACTGCCCACTCGATGAGGAGGTCCCTCTGCTTGGTCGTGAACGTGGGCGTCTCGCCCAGGTCCGCCGCGGCACTCGAGACCACATCCCACGTGCTGCTGCGAGCTGTTGAATCCGATGCCGCAGAACTTAGGTCCGCTCCGACCGCGCGCACGGTGCGCGCCGCGGTCGGCACTCCGGTCGACGGTCTGGCTGCCGCCGATGGCCCCCCTGGATCGGTCTTGATCTCGACCTTGACGCCCTCGGTCTTGGTCTTGCGGGCTGTCCAGTAGCCCTCCTTGTCCGGGTCGCTCTTGATGTAGTGCCCTGTCTCGATGGCGCGCTCCGCCTCGATGGCCTCCATGTGCGCCTCGACCCTCGCGGCCGTCGGAGTGTCCCCCGATTCTTGGAGCCGGCGAAGAGCCGCCGCCACCAGGGCCGCCTTCGGCTCCTTGCGGTACTTGCCGCTGCACCCCATCTTCGGAGCGTGGTCCAGCCTGAAAGCGCACCTCTCGCACGTCAGCCACACTCCGAAGCGGTTGCTGGTGTAGCTCGACACGGTATGGGTCCCTTGGCATGGCCAGCTGGTCATGCGAGGATCCTTCGGCTCGGCCCCCTTGCTCAGAGACCAGTCCGTCTGCTCTGCCGCCGCACATGGTAGGTCGGGGTAGAGCCTCTTGTCGCCCATCAGGACGAAGGATGGAAGATTGAAAAGCGTCGAGCTGATCTCGAATACTTTGGAGCCGAAATGCCAATGGTGCAGCCGGTGTTGGACGAAACCAGATTTCGGTACGAATCGCACTGGCCCCATCTGGCAATGGGCGATAAAGCCAACTCCCAGGGGTTGCAATCGTCACAGGACCGTCTTCGATAATCACCGAACTGTGCAAACACGTCGTCCTACGCCAGCACATTCCAAAACGTAGAGCATCATCAGGACGTTCGAAAGTTCTGAATACTCTCGAAAACCAGTCTTCCCGAACATATCTGCCAAGTTTTGATTCATCTGGCTCTTCACTGTATCCCGTCACATGGTTTACCATAGTAATATTGTGGTATGGTAGAGTGCAACCCGTTTCCAACCGTTGATGTTTAAGCCGTCTGGATAGTGCACCGCTGTAATCGAAGCGATCCCCGGACAGCTCTCGGCAAATGGGGCGTGTTTCACGCGAGGCCCACACACCGAGAACTCGGACAACAGTGCGGGCTTCTCGCTACTACAACCTCCCCAATTTCTCGATCCGACCCCTCGAGCTCACGCTCTTCGGCCAGGTCCGCAATCGGTCGGATCACACTCTGTAGTTGTAATCGTACGCGTATCATCAGACCACCCGCGCCGATGCCCTGATACTGTGCTCCCTCTTTTCTCTGGTCACCTGTAAGTCCCGGGGAGCGCGGAATTCCGGTGCGCTGTCCCTAGCTGCCGGCCGAACTCAGGACGTCCAGCAAGCGGTGGCCGCCCTTGCCCTTCCGGAGCTGGACCTTCGTGGTCTTGTCGTCGCTGAGGTCGATCTCCAACTCGTTTCTGCGGAAGGAGACGTCATGCTGATCCAGCCAGTCTACCCCCGCGAGCACCGGCACCTCATCGGCGTCCAGCAAGTAGATGCCCAGCCAGCCGATGGGCGCAAAGAGCCACACCTTGGACAGCGCCTGGCCCCACTGGCCGTTCGGGAACTTGAGCCAGGGCCTGTCGGCTGCGTCCACCTCGATCTTCGCGTCCGGGAACTTCTCGGTGACAGCCGAAACCAACCTCTCGACAGCGTCGCCGCCTCCAGCTGTCGTCGTAGCTCCGCAGTCGAGGACAATCTCCGTAGACGTTGGGCACGAGAGGGACAGGATCATGTCCATGCAAAAGATGCCTCCGATGTAGTGCACCTTGCCCTTCTTGCCCATGCCCTTGGACCCGAAGCCGCCCTTCGCGAAGCTCTTGCCCTTGTTGGAGTAGCGGTCTGGACACTGCCTCCAGTAGTGGTCCGGCCGACCACAGATCAGGCATCCACGTCCTTGAGGTCCTGCCGATGACCCCTTCACCTGGTAGCCGCCCTTCTTGCCATCCTTGCCGGAGCCCTTCTGCGGAAAGAACCCCCTGTTCTTGCGCGCCTCTGCCACGGCGCTCCTGGCCTCGGCCAGCGTCCGATTAGCTTCGGCGGCGAGGATCTCGGCTGCATTCACCTGCTCGTCCAGGTACGAGTCGTCAGTCGCATGCGCAGTTGAATCCGGTGTCCAGGTCGCTGCTGTTGCCTGGCCCCACTGGTCTGGCGAGGTATTCCAACCGGCATCGTTGTTGGACCAATCCCACGAGCTCGTAGCCCATGTAGTCTGATCCACATCGTCCGCATAGAAAGCACACCACCAGACGTCTTCGTTCTCGTCGTAGCTCCAGTCGATTGTCCACGATGACTCTTCACCGCGGATTGCCGCACATACGTCGTCCATCTCCTCCGCGCTCTCGAAGGCGAAAACTCTGCCTCGGAAACCACGACCCTGCTGCTGAGCTGGTTTATCACGGTCTCGGAGATCTCGGTCATCCCACGACGCGCGAAGCTGCGTGACGATGGACTCGTATCGGGTGTCGTTCTGAGTGCCTGCCAGAATCATCTGGCGCTCTTCCCTGCTCAGGCGCGCGTTGTGCAAAAGCCTGTACCCTCGAAGTTCTGCCTCGAAGAAGCTCGCGTCGGTCTCCGACTTGGCGGTCGAAGCCCCAGATCGGGCCGACACCGCAGACTTCTTCTCGGTCGCGTCCGCGGCCTCGGCGTCTTCCTCGACCTCCTCGGCTTCTTCGAACTCCTCGGTCGGCGACTCCTTGACCGTTGAGGTAGCTGGTCGCCCGGTTCTCCTCGTCGCCTGAGCCGATTCACGTCGCAATCGGTCTGAACGAAGTCGCTTCAAGGCTGAACGCATGTCCCTGAACAGGTTGTCTTCTCTGATGACAAACTCGCCAATCACCTCGCCGGGCTTGCGAATCACCTGGTCGTAGTTGCGGATCTTCTGGTACGCGTCCGGGATCGGCATCTTGCCGAGCGGACCTTCTCGAAGATGTTTGAGCAACGCTTCCACACCTCCTGACGCGAAGTCGTTCGGCCTCATGTCCTTCACTGCCTCCTTGGCCGCACCTCGTAGCGCAGTCCACAGGCGAGCTACGGCGAGGTTCTTTTCGTTTTCCTTCAGTCCCGCGCGGTACCATAGAACAGCGTTCTCATAGCTCTCAAACGTCAGTGGGTCTCCACTCCACGTCGGCACTCCCTGCTCGGTTGTCTCACACCCAGCGGTCGACTTCAGTGTGGGCCTCCACGATGGCTCCGCTGCCATGTTGGCGGAATCGGCGCAGCAGTAGATTCCCAGGAAGTTCCGACGAGAAATCTATCACCCAGCCCGATGCCTATTTCACGTATCAGTCGTCACAGCGTCGCTAGCCGTGCTGAAATGTAGTGGCGCCTGGGGGCCACGTGAAACGAATGGAAAAGCTCGTGTCCCGCCCTTGAGCCAAAGCCGCAGCACAGAGAGGCTTCGGGCAGGGAGTGCACAGGACTGACTGCTGCTAGCTAACACCCGCGGCCCCTGCCGCCGCGCCGCCGCCGGCGCCCGCCGCGGCCGCGGCCGCGCAGGCGGCGCCCGCGGTCGCGCCCGCTCGCGCGCAGGCGATCCCCGACGGGCTCCCGGTGGTCGTGCCCGCCACCGGGGTGGCGCCGCTGGGCTGGAGCTGGAGGGCAGTCGAGGACCTGCCCGGGCTGGTGACCTACGGCGATGTGGTGGCCGTGGGCGCCCTGGGGGGCCCACGCTGGCGGGCGGCGCTGGCCGGCGCCAGGTTGCTCCGCTGCCGAGCGGGCATTCCGTCTTCATGGCGCTCGTATCGGACGGCGAGGTGGCGAACCTGAAGAAGGAGTTCCGCGGGAGTGGCGCCCGCGCCCTGGCCGTGGAGCGTTCCGCTGTGGGGCGAGAGCGGCCCTGGGCGTCGGTGGTCGCGGATTGTAGGGAGGAGCAGATCGCCGACTTTGGAGTGAAGCCGCTTCGTTCGGCGAAATGGTGTGCGGCCTGTCAGCAGAAGGACGGCGGCCCGGTGCTCCACTCTGAAATGTGGAAAACTCGCCGCCGCCTGCAGGACACGGATTTCGGCGTCTCGGAGCACGAGACTTTGAGCAAGATAGTCGAGACCCTTGGCATAATAGACCAAGTGGACATCTACAGCCTAGCTGGCGTGGAGGTGGTCTACCGAAAGCTCCAGCTGATCGAATACTATAGATGAGCGGCGGCAAGAGCAGCATCAGGCAAACTCCAAGCTTCCTCTCGATGAGGTGCAGGCCTTCTTGGGCGGGGGCCGCGCCCCGAGCATGGTGTGCCCAGAGCTGCTGGGCCAGGTCGCGAAGGAGCTAGAGCGCGTAGCTGGCATCGAGAAGAATACAAGGAAACTTCGGGAGGGGCAGGCCGCCCTGGCCAAGGAGGCTCCTCCCGCGAAGTCATGATGCAGTACGCGCCGCCTGGGCCCCCCCACCCTGGTGACCTGGCGCCGCAGGGGGAGGCGGCTGCTGGGCCCGACTGCAAGCGGTCCTTGCTGCCGCTGCCGCTGCCGTCCTGGTGCAGGGCTGCTGCTGGCCGCGAGACTCGCGCCGGCGTGCCCGCCGCCGGGCGGTCAGCTGGGCGCCGCGGGCGCGCGCGCGCGGCGTCGCCGGGCGGGCCTGCTTTGCGAGCTGATTCAAACTCTGAACCAGATGGACGCTCGAGAGGACGACCTTCGGCGCCGAACCCTGGATGACCCGTGCCGTGTACAGGAGCTGGCGCTGGCGCACCTCGCCGACTGCTGCTCGGAGTTCGGCGGTCCACCGCCTGACTTGGCGGCAGACGCAGCCCTCCGGGAGCTGCAAGCCAGCTCAGCATATGGGGCCGATGAGCGTCAGACGCTGGCACCTTTGAGTTTCGACCTCGTCTCGCTCCCCAAGGCGGGCGCGCAGCCGCGTCCTCTCGAGGAGCTCCTCGGACGGGGCGGTCTTGTTTTTTTCTCAAAGCGCTTCTGGGCAGCAAGGTTTTGCCGAGTCGAGTTGCTGCGGGGCGGAAGGTTGTTTCAAGTTTTTCGAAGCCTTATTTTGACCCCACCCTTCGACGGCCCTCGTGTCGAGCCCTTTTCGTTCGGCGCATGTTGGATGCTGGCATGCTAGACCTGGTTCCAGACTCTGTCGCCGCGCGCGAGGAGGTGGGTGTGTTTGCGGTGTGGAAAACGAATGGCAGACAGAGACTCGTGGTAGATTGCCGAGCGAGCAATGTTCATTTTGAGGACCCTGAGCATGTGGAACTCGCGACGGGGCCAGCATAGCTTGTCTTGAGCTCCCGGAAGGCGAGGACCTCTGGGTGTCCGGGGTCGACATGTGTGACGCCTTCTATAATATGGCCCCCCCCCTTGACCTCCGCCCCTTCTTCGCGCTCCCGCGGGTCAGGGCTGGGGATCTCTGAGTCTCCGAACTTGAAGGGCGGCCGATTGGGCCGCTCGAGTGGGTGAGACCGCGATTTGCTGTACTTCCTATGGGTTGGTCTCACGCCTTGGCGTTCCGTCAGAGGGTGCACGATAGTGTCCTGAGGGGGCGTGCGGGTCTAGGGGATAAAGACCATTCGTCTCCCCCCCGCTCGCCTCAGGGGTGCATCTTGAATCTGTCGATAACTTTTTAGGCTTGGCCGCCTCTGCCGAGCGGGCCAACGAGC